AATTGGTCTAGAGCAGGCCGGCCATGTGGCCAGATGACAAAAGTGTCATCCACGTACCTCTTCCATAAGGTCGGGCGTAGAGTAGCAGTCTGGATGCCTTACAAATTAAGTTGCCTCTGTGGTAGCAGCTACATTGGAGAAACCAAACGACATATCTCGGACCGCATCCAGGAACATAAAGCAGACTTGAAACACGGTAGGACGAACACCTCAGCCATGGCAGATCACTGTTATAATTCAGTGGGCTCACATGACATTGACTTCTCCAAGACGGAGGTTCTCTGCAAGCCCTCCGGCTACCATGAGAGATTCGTTCATGAGGCCATCCACATATCCAAACTCTGAGACAATATCAACCGAGAAGATGGATTCTGGCTTAGTAACCATTGGAAAGACGTTATAAACCATTTCGGTTCTTGATTGATTGTATTTTACGGTGACTTTCAGACCGCAGTCCATTCGCTGGCACTGCCTCTTAATACCTTTCACACGACGGTCAATGGTATGGTTTATAGCATGTTGTATAATAATAAGTAGTATAACAGTGTAATGTTTAATATAATTCATAAGGCAATATATAGTATCGTAATTGTATAGTGAATATACAGCAGTGTGGTATACAGTAGGGTTGGTAGAATTAATACAAAGTGTAATATTACAAGTATAATATTTTATAGTCTAAAGTATAGCGTAGTGTATAGTAACGCATTGTATAATTCAAGGGTGGGGTATGTCTGTGGCAGTGTATATTACGGTGTATAGTCGTGTAATGTAGAAAAAAGTTTAGTTGGAGACATATCAATATAATGCATAATGTTAGAGCTTACATTGGGCTGTGTTGTACGATATTATACAATGTAGTTTAGATTGGAAGGTATAACATTGTAATGTATACTAGTCTAGTTTATAACATAGTTGTAACGCAACACAGGACAGAGCAGCGCATCGTGGCTGTTTCCCCCCCTCCTCCTTTCCGTGCATAGATGGACTCGTCCGTCTGAACAAAGCTCGTCGCTTTCCTTGGTGCTTATGTTGAAAGAAAAAAACGCTACCTTTTTTTTCGACATAGAATTGTAATGTTTAATGACTTATTGTTAGTAGCTCAGCTGATTAGAGAGTATATTGAGTTTATTGATAACAATGATGTAGTTTATATTTTAGTTTTTTATCAGTTTACTATGTGGTTTTCATTCAGAGTGTAGTGTATACCCAGTTACTTTATGTTAATAGCTCAACTTTTTGAAGAATATGAGTACTTTTATTATTTTGATGTAGTTTATACTTAGTTCTTTTACATCGGCTTATTGTATGATAGTTGGGTAGTTGCAGTTCTTTAGCGTCAATATACTCAATGCCTCTGTTGATATGTAAACTCTGACTTTAACATAGCTACTTCCGTGACCAGTTACATGCTAATCCCTCACATTAACATCATGCTAATCTCCCACTTACATGCTATTTTATGACTTTAACACCCTGCTAATCCAACACTTTAACACAGCTATTTCAATGCTAAAACTATTCTGTTGATATGTAAACTCCTTTGTCAAGGCGCTCTGCTCCTCCCACCCAGCTTAAAAGACGCTGCGAAGCTTGGCAGTGTTCATTGAAGCGCTGTCGTCCTGACAGTTCTGTTCCTTCACCTGAAGAAGGCTACTTGTGTTGTGGCCGAAACGTCGTGAGAATTTTATTTTGTTTTATTTTTATTATTTTATTTGCATTCTACGTGACTTTACCAAAAGAACCAAGAAGATGAATCCCTGCAGTCACGAAAGCTTTAAATCGAAATTTACTGTGACATCGTGTATAAATCGCCCCCAAGTACTGTACTGAAGAAGCTTGATTCCATCTATCACTCGGCCTTAAGATTTACATGGAACTGTCCATATAGGACTCACCACTGTGATCTCTACATTGGGTCAAACGTAACATCTCTTAATGTTCGACGGCTTGTGCAGAAGAAGAAGAAACCAGATCCACATGTTAAAAAGTTAGACGTTGACAAGGTTGTTATTAATCTGAGTAATAGTCAAATTTCTGATGGTATAAAATAGGTTTTGGCCAGAGGGTTGAACTTCGCAGTCACCCCAAACACATACCAGTGGATGACATTATTGCCCAAGGCGATGTAGCCCTCAAGGGTTTGGGACACATCACTGCAGATGTGACAATATCTGAAATCGCTGCATCCCTAAAATGCGCTAATATACCAGATAGCAACATCAGCAAGGATGAGCGTTTTGAGTTATCTCAATTGAAAAAAGAGAGATGATACCCTCATCCTCTCAGCCGACAAAGGCAATGGCCACGGTCATCATGGAAAAAAAACGCGCATTATAACAAAATTCAGGACCTACTTAATGATGGTTGCTACACTAAAGTAAAATAAATCCCAACCAAACAGCCTCGTTACAAAAACGAACAGTATCATCACTGATTCAGCTTAATTAATTAAACAGAACAAACGGTTTTCCTTAAAATGTTTTGCTGCTAGACCACCCAGATTAAATGGCTTACCAAAAATTAATAAAGAAGGTACACCCCCCTTCGTCCATCGTCTCCACCATTGACTCACCCACCTACAAACGAGCCCGATTTCTGTCTGAGACCTTGCAGCCATGTAACTGGGGACAGTGATATGTCCTTAATTTACGATACCAGGTGAGCTGAGTTGAGTACAGCTGAGGTGGTCTTGCTGTGAATGGAATATTGTTGCACCTGAGGACGATGGCTTGTGGTGCTATCGATACGTCGTGATCTATTATTTTTCTGCCTACGTGACTTTACCGAAAGACCCAAAGAGTATGGATTCCAGCAGTCATGAAAGCTTCAAATCAAGATAATATTACAGTCAATTATTTGTACACGAGTTCATAAAAAGTCTGTCTTTGCGAGGTAAAAGTTTTCAATAAATATAACATAACTGTCAACCCATACGGTTTACCCGTATTGTCATAAAGGGGAAATTGAGTTATCAGGTCAATACGGCATACAGCAAAACATATTTATTAGTGTTTTTCCCTTGTGATGGGACTTTGTAGAATGAACGATGCAATTTATAAGGGGTAACCAATAAGATCTGAATTGGACTGTAATAAAGTGGGCACTGATAAGGGGTTGACATGAAAAAAACTAACTATTTTTACCCACGATCAGATACTAACTACTCCAAAAAAGTGTATTTTTTTCGCAAAATAAAATCAAATTGATGACATGATTCAAATTCTTACATTTAATGACATACCCATCGGAAACCGCTCAATTGAAAGATTATGCAATTTTTTATTATAAAGAACTAAAATATATTAATTTAATATTATGAAAGGATGCTCCTATCTTTTACAGTTTTCGAATTATTCAGATTTTAACATCATAATATGCGGATTTTTTCGTTTCAAACCTGCTTTAATCCGAAATATCTCAAAACGCATACATGTTACAATGGTTATCGCTTTAATTGTATTTATTGTTTAACGCTCTACCAAAATAAAAAAGCACGTTATATTTTGAATGGTTTCTGAATGACACGCACAAACATATTTATGGGGCACTTAAAATCGAGATTTGGGGGCCTTAAAATTAAAAAAATTCGGATTTTCAGATGTTTCCTATTGTTTGTGTCCTAAAAGCTACATCTGTTTCAAATTTCAGCGATTCTACCTTGTTAGGAAATACTCTGTAGATTTTAGAGACATGCTGATTAAGGTTTTTATTATATAAATAGATTCTGCACCCAGTGTCTGCGGTCAAGTCAGCTGTTGGGGGTCTCAGTGCCCACTGCGTTGCGTTGGGCTTCTGTTGGTCAATGAGATACGCATACGAAGTCTCTCTCCCTCACTTCCGTGCATCTGTACCTCCACTTAAGCAATATAGGCCATCACTTTTTAAAAAAGACAAAGATCCCCAAGTATAGACTTCCTTGAAGAGTGACAGACCAGGTAGCTTGCACACAGCGTTATGTAACCGATGAAAAGACAATGCCGCTCGACTGATTCGGAGTGAGACCTCTGCTGTTAAACCGAGGCCGGTCATGAGCGCACTGCCCAGGTATGGCAAACTCTCCACTCTCTCCACAACCGGCCCATCACTAATTGGGAGTTGTGGGGGTGTAGTGTCCGATGGTACAAAATACCCAGGCAGGTGCTCAGTTTTGGTGGGGCCGATAGCAAGGCCCCACCTCTTATTGGCAAGCTCCAGGTTCAGCAGCAGCGCCTCCAACTCGTCCTCTGAGTGAGCAGCAATTACGAGATAATGGGCATACATAACATGGTTGAGCTATAGAGAGCCATCCCTTGATCGCACGCGGGCATTGATTAGCCTCCCATTGTATCTGTACCATATGGTAATTCCTCCGGTACAGCCATTGAAGGCTTCACGAACTACGTGGTCAAAATATATCTTAAATAATGTGGGAGCCAGATGACATCCCTGTCGCACCCGAAGGTGTAGAGGGAATGGCTCCGACTCCCGGTCACGTAGTTTTACCTGGGCGCCAAAGAATATGAAATACTGCAGTCACGAAAGGTGTAAGTGAAGATAAGTAATGTAATAATATGAAGGTGATATTTTCAAAGATAGGTATATTTGAAAGTGAGTTCACACAATAATGAAGATGAAAGTAATGGCCAAGTCATGAAGCAAAAAAAGTTGTTTGCAAACACTATGGTGTGTATTGCATTGTGATGAATGCAAAATTACTTGAAATGTTTGTAGCTACGTGATGTAACATAAACAGTCAAAGAATATTAATTCCTGCAGTCATGAAAGTTCTAAGTGAAGATAAGTAATGTAATTACAGGAAGGTGATATTTGCATAAAGAGATGTGTTTGAACGTGAGTTTACACAATAATAAAGATTAAAGTAATGGGCAAGTTACGAATTAGAAATATATGTTGTGAGCACACAAACAAAAATAATATAATGTTTCAAGGTGATGAATAAAACAACAGTTGTGTAGGTACGTGATGGTAGCGTAAGAAGTAAGGAAATGTGTACTTACCATTGCCGATGTGAGGCCTAATCCCGTGCGGAGCCTCCGTCCTGGCCTACATTGCGGAGGCCGGCGGAGGTAGCACGTTGACGGGCTGGGGGCTGGGCCGCTACCCCCCCCCCTCACCATCCCCCCTGCCCGTGCAACAATGATGCTCTCTAAACACTATAACATTATTATCTACGGAGTCTGTAGTATGAACTGCACGCATCGTGTTGCGGGGAGAAGGGGGGGAGCGAAGAGGACATGACACTGCGAATAAATATGCGCGGCGTTATGTGTATATGTATTGCATGTTAACCGCGTAAAAGAAAATGTCCCCCATGAGCTGGACCGAACGCGCGTCACTTGGCATGGTCCGCTCCGCCCCCACGCAATTGGCTTGAGTTGGTACGGTCGATGTCGCGCGAACTTTAAAGTTGACGGACGGGGGGAAACGGAATAGCCTATGCCCACAGTGGGGCTTAGAGGCATGCTGCCTGGCAAATTTGTTTCGATATAACCCCCCGCCCACCGTTTGAGAGCCCAATTCCTGACAAGCGCGCGTGCGCAGAGACTTTTTACACGTAAGATGATGTACACATCTTCTTTGGTTATTTCGGTAAAGTCACGTAGAATGAGAATAAAATAATAAATTGATCAAAAATAACACAATAATATTCCACGACGTTTCGGCCACAAATATTCGTGAGAATATTATTGTGTTATTTTATTTTATCAATTTTGTTATTTTATTCTCACTCTACGTGACTTTACCGAAAGAACCAAAGAAGATGAATCCTTGCAGTCACGAAAGCTTTAAATCGAAATGATGTACACATTTTGGGGCAAACGTTTTTTTTCTGTCATTGTAATTTGTGCTTCACGGCACTGCTGCTAACAGCTTATATTCAGGCATGGTTATTTCATGAATTAATATTTCACGATGGATATTCATTTAAACATGAATGTTTCATGAATGATTATTCGTTCATAAATTAATATTTCAGTGCTGTGAACAGCACTTCTGTTAACATCACTGTTAAGGCTATACGGAGAATCGTTGTCTTGGTGCTCGCTAACAAGCACTTGTCCCAACAGTCTGTGAAAGTCTTGACCTTAAAGCTTTCCTGACTGCAGGAATTCATATTCTTTGGTTTTTCGGTAAAGTCACATAGATAGGTTCAAAGAACAACAAAAATAATAACAAAACATCATTCTTTTCCTGATGACGACCGCTTGTGTAGCGATCGAAACGTCGTCGTGGTTTTTTGTTATTTTTTGTATTTTTTGTTATTTTCTTTTGAACCTATCTGCGTGACTTTACCGAAAGACCCAAAGAATAGTCTGTGAAAGGCTATGAATGAATTCCCATTCATCACACGCAAGGTCATTTCTTTGTTGAAACTTTGGCTACAGTGCACCATTGCTTTTGTTCACTTATGCTCCTAAACTGGTATTTGTCACGGAAGTGGGGTTATTGTTGCGAGATCATCTTTACTCACTCGACCATACATTCCTCTCACCGTGGTAGCTTTGTGTGTGTACTAGTGCTGAACGGTTTGGGGAAAATATCTCCTTGCGATTTTTTGGACAGATATTGCGATTTGATTTGCGATTAAAGTTGTTTAAGTCAAGCTTTAGATCAATATTCACTGTGTAATAGATTTAAAACATGTGATTGAGCATTGCCACATGATACCATCAAAATATGAACTGCTCTATATATTATAATGCAGGATGAGGTATGAATTGAGATATTAATTTTAATTGAAATAGAACAAACAAACATAGAACAATTGTTAAGTTAAATAAATACAGTTATAATAATACAAAATAAAATAATTCCAATAGGAAAGTACGTAATAGGACTTTTCAAATTGCAAAAAACTGCAGCCTTTGCGATTTGCTAATCGCATTGTTTCAATATTGCGATTTCGATTTGAATTGATTAATCATTCAGCCCGAGTGTGTACGTACACCTGTTACTAGTGGCGCATTGGCCAGGTTGTACTTGTTAATTCTCGTGACGTTTTTTTTGTCCGAGTTGCTTGGGTGGGTATGGCTTAAAACGTGGATGGGGTTTTTTGGGGGGGTCCCTTGAGAGTTCATGAAAGTGTAGAAAACTCTTCTGCATTGAGCCGCAATGTGCGGAGTACTGCGGATATTTTGGCCAAATATATATATCAGTTACATTCTGTGTTGGTGCGGTTTTGATTTGCTGAATAGGAGCGGTAATGTAGCGGTTAGCATTAAGCTTCACTGCGACTTCAGCGCTACGAGTTCGATTCGCGCTCACAACTAACACTAGTGACGATTATCTGAACCAGTCCTGGGCCTCGCCTAGGTCGACTCAGCCTCAACGTGATTACATAGTGTGGTGTATGAAACATCGCCAATAGGGAGACAAAGGCGGTCGGGCGTGGTGCTGACCACCCGCCCCCCTCGTGTGCCACAGTGTCGGCCTTCATAGGTACTACTCGCTAACAGCACTTACCACAATATTCTGTTTAAGCTTATCCGCAAGAATCTTTGTTAACCCATGCGGGATCGGGCGAAGAACATTTACTTTACTCTGCGGAAAAGCGCCCAGATCCGGAATTGAAAGCAAAGTGAGTGTATAAACACCTTGCAATGGGGGAAGGGGGTCGTGAGCGAGTTGTGACCCGGGGGTTGGTGAGTTAGCGAGCTGGTGGAGGAGGAGGAGGATGTTTTAAAGGTGCGGCAGTTAACAGACGCGATATCTTCCAGCGACTTTCGTAGAGAAAGATGTGCACGATAAACATGCTCAGGCTGCTGCTCACCAGTGCGAGTGAGTGTCTGACAGACTCTCACTCATATTCACACACAAGATACTCACAGACTCTCACTCATACTCACACACAAGATACTCACAGACTCACACTCATACACACAAGATACGCACAGACTCACACTCATACTCACACACAAGATACTCACAGACTCTCACTCATACTCACACACAAGATACTCACAGACTCACACTCATACACACAAGATACGCACAGACTCACACTCATACTCACACACAAGATACTCACAGACTCACACTCATACACACAAGATACTCACAGACTCACACTCATACTCACACACAAGATACTCACAGACTCACACTCATACACACAAGATACTCACAGACTCACACTCATACTCACACACAAGATACTCACAGACTCACACTCATACACACAAGATACTCACAGACTCTCACTCATACTCACATACAAGAGGTAAACGTTTTAAATAAATATAACTATCAACCCATACGGGTTACCCGTATTGTTGTACAGTGGAAATTGAGTTAACAGGTCCATACGGCATACAGCAACAAATATATGTATTAGTGTTTCTCCTTTGTGATGTCACTTTGTAAGATGAACGTTGCAATTTATAAGGGATAGGGGTAACCAATAAGATCTGAATTGGACTGTAATAAATTGGGCACTGATCGGGGTTGACAGTTATGTTAAAGTCTCCATAAACTCCAATCTTAAAGTCTCCCATACACGCCAATGTTAAAGTCTCCCATAGACTCCAATGCTGCAGCAATACCTGTCAACCCATACGTTTTGCCCGTATTCTTGTACAGGAGAAATAAAGTTTTCAGGTCCATACGGCATACACCCATTTCAATACGGGCAAAATAAAAACAAAAAACTTAGAATTGTTTGCGTTTCTCCCTTTTGATGGGACTTTATAGGATGGACGTTGACATTTATTTATAAGGTCTCAGTGCCCGCTGTGTTGCGTTGGGCTTCTGTTGGCCAATGAGATGCGCATACGAAGTCTCTCTCCCTCGCTTCCGTGTACCTGTCCCTCCGCACAAGCAATATAGGCCATCAGTTTAAAACAAAGACACGGATCCTAAAGTATAGACTTAACATATTGTTGGACAAATGCTGTTGGCAAGTAGCACCTATGAAAGCCGGCACGGCACACAAGGCGGTGGGTTGCCAGCACCACGCCCGGCCGCCTTTGGCTCCCCAATAGTCATGTTTACACACCGCACCAGATACTCATTTGAGGGCTGAGTCGACCTAGGGGAGGTCCAGGACCCGTTCAGATAATCGTCACCAGTCTTGGTGGCTGTGAGCGGAAATCGAACCCAGGTCGCCAGGTCTAATAGTGCAGCGCGCTAACTGATGCACCACCGCTCCCCACCAGCAGTTTACACATCCCATCTGCCCTCACTATCTTCTGGGTCAGTGGTCATTCTCAACCTTTTGTTGGCTACTGCTCTACCTCCCTTGCTGAAGTTCAACATACACACACATACGACTCACACAGAGACCCATAGACTCACACAGAGACCCATAGATTGTTGTCCTTCCCCCGCACCTTTGATTAGCACAGTTGTCCACGTACCATTCGAAAGAAGCTCAACGTGGATTTTGAACTTCTTTCGTACCGTACAAAGCCAGCCATGCTCATCTGAGGTGTGGGTGCAGGACAACAATATAAACACGAAAAGCAGTTCTAAAGAAATTCATTTTCAATCGAGACTTTAAAGTGCATAACGCCAGTGGCTTCTAATATCGGAAGAGCGTTCCAGACGGCCGCAGAAACGGATCCAAAAGCACATGATGCAGTGACCGTCTTTGTTCGATAGCCAGCCAAAATAAAAATAATGGATACAAAATATATTACCGGATGCCCTGCATGCCTGACATAATGTGTTCGATCTTGCTGGTTACTTTTGGAAACCAAATTGTTCACGATCAATGAGTCTTGAAAGGTATTTTATATCGTTCTAGGTTACCATATGGATTTACATTTATCGTAGTTATTTTATATTGGCAGATTCATACAACATGGTCATTCACCAATGACCCATGTATGATATAATTTCACCGTATTTATGAATCACCTCAAGTACTCCCAGTTGTCCGTGTTCTCCAGTTGAGAACCCCTCTTCTAAATTATTGAAGCTGTAGTCACTCCATTAATTATCGGAGTGCTGCGGTGGCGAGATGTTATTCTCCATCGCTTGGTCTGCAGGAAGTTGCAAGTTTGATCCCGATCTTGGCAATCCCTGTATATTTTGCATGTTTCCCTGTGCTGGCATGGATTTTTGTTCGGGTCCTCCAGTTTTTTCCCTCCAAATAAGATTCAAAATGCATTTCGAGTATTTGGCTGCTGTAAATGTCCAATTGAAAAGCCACTTCGTTGAACTTTCATTGGTGGCCAGGTCGCTTCCGAAAAGACATATATAGTTCAGTGAGCCTTACCTGGTAAAATATATTTGTATCGTTTTATATAATTTTTTGAGAGTGATGCTGAGGAAAAAGTTGATTAAGAATATCTGGGCTGAATATGTTACGAATAGATAAGCAATGTATCCTGGTTCTGCAATTGTGGACTCCCAGAATCGA